GGCAGTTTTCTGTTCTCCTTTGAGAGTCGAGAGGCCCGGGCCCCTCTGGGGCTGGTGGTGCTGGAGGGCTGCACGGTGGAACTGGCCGAGGCTCCCGTGCCGGAGGAGTTTGCCTTCACCATCTGCTTCAACGCCCCCGGTGTGCGTCCATACCTGCTTGCTGCTGATGGACCGGCAGCCCAGGAGGCCTGGGTGAAGGTGCTGTCCCGGGCAAGCTTTGGCTACATGCGCCTGGTGGTGCGTGAGCTGGAGAACCAGTTGCGTGATGCCCGCCAGAGCCTGGCCTTGCATCGCCACTCATCCTGGAAGGCCGGTACAAGCTCCTGTAAGACCCAGCCTGCTGACCAGCTGTCTCGGATCCTGGAGAACGGCCACACCCTCTCCAGGGATTACAGCCCCATGGGCGTGGTGGAAGCCGGGGGCAGCAGGCCAGCATCAGGCTCTGTTCTCTTTGCTTTTTCTTGTAGTATGAATCTCTCCTCTCCAACTTTGGACTCCTAGGAGAAAGCTATCCTCCTAGGTAACAGCTGAGAAAATTAGTTTGGGGAGGGCAGGAAGGTGTTTAGTTGTTCATAGTTCAAGAAGAAGGGTGAAGAAAGGAAGACCACCCACCTTTGCTCTCCAAACGAGGCTCCTCTAATTCCTCAAATGGGTGCTGGGACAGGAAGGCCTGAGCTGACTCTAGCACGGAGTAGATATAGGGGCCCCGAGACTTCACATCTTCCATAAATGTCTGTGAAGTTTAGCAACACAGTCAACAGGGAAGAAAAGTCTTTCAATCAATCACTTTACATTCCATTCTACAATTGACAACCTTTCTTCTCAGTGTAACTTGATCCTGTGGCATTGTCATGTACCTTTGGCCTATCCAGACAAAAAGTCCTCCCTATAGGCAGAAGAAAGAATAACTGTGACACTGGAACATCTATGTAGTATGAAATGCGTCTCTTTGCCAGAGTAGAGAGAATCGTGGGGACTTGGGGCTGGGAATTTGGGTTCTTTAGAAGACTGAGAAAGTTCCCTGTAAGGGGCTTAGATAAATCAAAACCAGAATGAGCAAGATTACACTGATTTTAATTAACTTTTTATTTAAGTATACATAGAGAAAAGTAAAAAAATCAAAAGTGCACATCTCAATGAATTTCCATTAAGTGATTCCATCTCTATAACTAGTACCGAGATCAAGAAACAGAACTCCACTAGCATCCCAGAAGAGCCCCTCATGGCCCTTTCTGGTCACTATCTTATACTCCCCCCCCCCCCACCCCCATTGGGTAACCAATATTTTGTCTTGTAATTCCACCAATTAGTTTTTCCATTTTTGAACTTTATATAAAAGGAATCATACAGTATATCCTCTTTTTGTATCTTTTGTTTCAATCAACATACTGTCTTTAATGTTGATCCATGTTGTGACACAAAATTATAGTTTATTTTCTTGTTGTGTTATATTCCATTTTGTATGTATTTTTAATTGAGATATAATTGACATATGATATTGTGTAAGTTTAAGGTATACAACATATTTATTTGATACATTTATATTGCAATATGTTGCCATTGTAGCATTAGCTAACATCTGTCATGTCACATAATTATCATTTTTTTCAGTGCATCTGTATATATTTTTAGAAATCTGTTGCTATTTTCTGATTATAAAGGTAATATATGTCACAGAAATCTTAGAAGTTTTAGAAAAGTATAAAAAAATCAAAAAGAACTCCAATTTCATAATCTAGAGTTGTTAACCATTATGGATATTTTGATATACTTCCTTCTTATGTTTTTATATGTTTGCATACATGTACTAACATCTATATATATTTTATATAATTGAGATCCACCCGTATATGTTTTTGTATCCTATGTTTTTTCAATTTATGTTATATTAGGTTTATTTTCCACGGCTCCACTAAAAATCATGGCATGATTTTAAGGGAGGCCAATATTTGACAGGAGAAAGAAAGAGGAAAGATTTGAGTTTCTCTGTGGAGTGCCATTCACAGGTCTTTAGGACCGCATGCAACTTCCTGTTACTTTAAGTATGTAAGCGGAGACTGGGTGTCCTTCTGACAGGGTACTGTAGAAGCAATCCCTTCACGACTGAGAGGCACACACCATGGCCTCCATAATTTGAACCTACCGCATGTGTCTCCTTTTCCTGTTGCACCAGGGCCACATCCCCTTGTAGGGGCAGCTGCGCTGACAATTCCTCATCCTTTTGGCTGAGCCAGTCAATAATCTCTTGGAGAGAGAGCTGAAGCTTTCCACTGTGGTCTGAGAAGGCCTCTAGGCGAGCACTGCACACAATGGGTAAGACCAATGATTTTCATCTTGTTTTTAAGTGGCAAACATTTTCTCCCAAACAAACACTTATGTGGAACATTAATGTATATATACACAAAATACCGACTTTTGCGCATGGGCCATGAAGTTTCAATCGCACTGTACATGTGCGCCCGCACATGGTATTTTGTGGAAGAGCCACACTCAAGGGGCCAAAGAGCGCATGTGGCTCACAAGCCGCAGTTTGCCGACCACTGCCCTAGAGGAACTCAACTCATGCCAACTGCTCATCCACAGAGGCTTTTTGGAGCCTGCTCTCTGAGCAGGGAAGGATGCAATAAGTGGGAAGGGCAAGTCAGGGGGTTGAGTGTAGGCACTCACATGTGCAAGGATGCATACAAATAGAAGAGGTCCAAGGGTCCCAAAGAATAATAGCAACATAGGCTAGAGGTATAACATATGGCATATTAAAAATGTGCACTGTATAATCATCTCTGTCAGCCTCCCCCCACAAATGAACCATGAGCTGAGGTCCAGGTGGTAGGAAGCTGGAGGCCAGCCTAGGCTGTGTGCAGTCACCGAGTCCATTCCCCTTAGCTGGCAACAATAATGATGCATTGCCTCCATATTACCTGGGCCAAGCCCTTTCCCTAAATTTTTGTTTCCACTAATTCTCAGAGCAACTTTATAGGTAGGCAATGCTATAGTATTGCCCAGAGAGGTTAAGTAATTTACTCAAGATCACATAGTTAAGTCACTAATAGAGTTTTAATTTGCATTTAGTTTTATCTGACTCCAGAGCCTGCATTTTTTTCAATTTCTCCACACTGCCTCATCCCTACTAGAGCTTACCAGAAGCTATAGGTTTGGGCTTTGATGATATAGTGTGGAGAAGAAAAGTGTGGGGTGGGGGATACAGTAGGGGTAGGGAAAAAAGGAACAACTGATATAGAAATTGCCTTCCAGCTCTTACTGAATTGTTCTCAGTTGCGGAGCACTAGGTGGGTTAATAACGAATGGATGGGAATAGAGCAGGGGTGGGGAACATCCGGCCTGAGGGCCATATAAGGCCCTGAAAATAATTTGGTCTGGCCCTGCCAAGGCATTAGGGGTGAGTTAATTAAATGTTTGAACAATATAGCAGGCTAATTTTTAAGCTGATAATTTTGTATGGCCCACAAATAAATATTCAAATAGCCCTTGGCAGAAAAAAGGTTCCCTACTTCTGGAGAAGAGGGATGAAAGAATGGGAGAGAGAGCAGATGAGATCTACCAAGATGGAGAACAGTTATGCAAAGAGGAGGAGGAGGAAATAATAATATCTTTCATTTATATATCAGTGCTTTTAAAAAAGTTTAGCAAGCATTTTCATATCTTAGTTGAATTCTCATGACAACACTGTGAGGTAGGTAGGATAGGTATTATTCCTTCACCCATTTTTTTTCCTTAAAAATAATCCAAACAAATGGAAGCTAAAATTCAGATAACTAAAACCACTTAGCCAAGGTGACACAGCTACTTAAACCTGAGGCTCAAATCCAAGTCTCCTGATCTCTGACCCGGGTTTTTCCTCCAGTGCCAGAGAAGGAAAGGGAGGAGAAGGAGACAGTTAGGCTAATGAAAGGGTGAGGTACAGGCTGAGAGGAGAATGACAGGCTGCAGCAGTAAAAGGAGCCCAACACTATCCAAGCCAGGTTTCTACGGCCCCTGTTTGTAGAGAGCAGGCCTTACCGGAGGTTGTGAGACTTCTTCTTGATTTCATTCCAACACAGATTCATGGCTGACAGTTCCAGGGGTCCAGAGGTACCAACAGACCCATTGACCAGCTTTGTGCTTAGGCAGAAAACCCCAGCACCATCCTGAGGAGGTACAGGGGAGATGGCAGCAGCTCTAACCTGGACAGAAATACAGACATCCTGTGACCCCTGGAGTGTGCCTCACCCTGGTCTGTAGGAAGACAAGGGTGGGACAGGTGTGAACAAGGAAAGATAAGGGTTTGTTCCAGGGTATGTTTGGGGGTGAGATAAAGACTCGGTGGCTCTGTTCATTGCAAGGTCCACTCTTGTTATAGGTCAGTCACATATGACTGCTGATTACTATAGTATTACTCTTATTATTATAAATTCTGCCAGGACTACTGCCCAGGTGTGAACCTGGAAGTCCTTGCATTAGGTAAGAGCTGCTCAGAATTTCCCCAAATGCTGGCAACCACAGAAATAGATGAGCTGTAAGCTCCTATTTCAGGGTCCCATCCTTTACCCAACCTCTGGAAAAGAAAGCTCAGACCAGAGTGGGCAGCTAAGAGGACCAGCCATGGAGTCTGCCAAAATCTCGGGTACCCAAGCCCACAGCCCATCACTTGTCACTCTTTGGGGTAATGTAGGGTTTGGATGAATGGGGTTATGCCAAATAGCCCTAAGAAGTTAGCTGCCTCCAACACAATGTCAAGATTGCTCAACAAGGGGGGCAGTAGGGGTGGAGGAAGCGGGAGTGTGGAGGAGGAAATCTCAGCTTAGCCTCTTCACCCAAGCCCCGGGAAACCCACTGCCTGCCTGTCCACCTGCTTGCCTTCTCTGGAAAGAATACAGTCCCATTTGTGGCTGAGATTGTCTAGTTTCCTTCCCCCCAAGACTTCTTTCCCACACAAGACTCTCCAGGCAATTTAGAAAACCAACCATACCATTAAAACCACAGCTTGCAGCCACATACTAATAGGAAACTGAGGGCGCAGCCAGGTTCTGGGGCAAAACTCTTAACTCAGTCACCCTGCATCCCAAAGAGCTGACACTACCTGTGCTGCAGGGACTCCGTTGCAGGATGGAGCAGCTCCATGATTATCCCTCAGCACGAATCCAGACCCAATGCCTGGTGATCCACAGGCAGTCTTGACAGGCTCTGAGCAGGCTCCCGCAGAGAGGGCAGGCAGAGTTTCGCCAGGCCAGAGGTGGGAGCTGTCACCCTGTTTGTTTACTGACCCCCCAGGAATCTTGAGGGGGCGGCTATGTAAGGGCTTAGCCGGTGAATCAGAGCTTTGTCCCTAGGGAATTCCGGCTCACTCCCAACTGGGCCCGCCACACCGGGGCCAGGAGGGCCCTCCCAAGCTGGCAAGGATGGCAGGAGTGGGACTGGGCATTCCATGGTGCTGAGGAGGGGCATGCAGAGAGTAGTGCCTGCCGACTTATATTCATTTGCTGTGGAAGACACAAAGGATTCACTCTGCTTCCAGACCCATCTCTCCCCTGAGGTGGAGGAAAGGATCAGACTACTTTGGTGACAAACCTCTCTGATAAGCAATTTCCCAAAGGTCTGCTAGGAGGATGGGCTTGGAAATAACCCTTGTCTTTGACAAAGTAAGTGTCCTTAGTGGCAGTGAGGAATATGTGTGTCACAACTGGGGGCAGAGCCGTGGGGTAGCAGGATCAGGTTGCTGGGCAGCAGAAGATTCATCTGAGCCCACTGTGAAAACATGGGGGTGCTCTGCCCTGCCTTTGGAATGCAGAGATGGGTAGGAGGAAAGTCATACCGCCCCCAGACATCCCACCGCACTCTAAGACCAGAGGGAAATGGATGGTCTATGGACAGCTTTGAACCTCTGCAGGGGAAGGAAAGGGCAAAATGGAGTGAGCAGCTCTATGTAGGGACCCAGTTCTAGAGAGTCTCTTGTGCCCTGCCTGTGCTGCCCTGGGCCACTGGCCGGACAGGCAGGGTCCCTTCTGTATGTGAACACCCTCCTTTTCCAGCAGACTTGCCTGGGGAAAGGTTAACATTCCCAAGCTGGACTCCCACCCCTCAGCACTAAGGGAAACACTTCATTTTTACCAAAAAGGGTTCTGTTCCCATCCTTATTTATCTCCCACAGAGTCTTCTGGGCTTTCCACAGTTCTACATTGTTTCCATGCTGAGGCCCACCTACAGGAATACTTGGAGCAGCTGCCTGACCCTTTCTGAGAGTCTGGGATGGATGGGGGTTGGCAACTGATGGTAGGCTAAGCATGGAGAGTGGCTCTCGTTCCAGGTCACAGCTTTGCTTATGCTGGGATAATTGGGCTCAATCCAGTCTTGCAGATTCTCCTGGACTTGGAATGCCCCAGAGTTAGAAATGGTCCCTTGTGACCCAGCCACAACCAACTTCTCCTGGTGCTGTAGGAAGTGCCTACAATGTGCTGGATCCACCCATTTTAGTCTTTCATTCCCTCTAGCCTTCTTAGTCTCTTAGCCCCCTACTTGGCTCCCTTACTATGTTCCTTCACCCTGTCCTCCCCTCCTAGTTCCCCCTTATACTCACAAGTCCATGTAGCAGAGACAGGCAAACAATAGGTAAATAATGAACAATAATTTTCTTCTTTC